GGGGTGTCATTCAACAGGGGCCCCAGCCCCACCAATGCAAGTTACAGGGAGGACTGGGGCTGTGCATGCCCCCATAGGACACAATCCCAGTGCTCCTGAGGCTGTGGGAGGTGTTGTGGCCCGTCACATCCAGGTCAGCCCCAGGTCCCCCCTGCAGGAAGGCCTCCTCCAGGTGCTGCTGGGGGGATCCCAGCCCCTGCTCCTCCCTGGGTCAGCCTCTTCCCCTGGGTCTAACTACAAGCTGCCCTGGGGGGCTCCGGTGCCCCTAATTCCCTAGTCCAGTCCTGGTTGCCCCTCCCCACAGCTCTGCCAATGCCCCTTGCACCCACACACTGCTACCCCAAGCCTGAGGCTCCCTCCGTGCTGCCCGCAGCCTCCCATTCAGGGCCCGAGAGCATCACCTGCTCCTTTCGCTATCCCCAGCCCCCTATGAAATCACGACAGGACACGGGCTGGGCAGAATTCCTCGTGTATTGATTTGGGGAGGAAGAACAGGAAGATCAGTAACATTTCCACTGAGCGAGATGCTGCGAAGCAGGAATAGAGCCGGGGTGGCGGCAGGTTATCGGCAAATGGCATCTTCTCTGGGAGGCAAAGAAGGGCCCCACTGGGCTGACCTTAGTGTTGATGGTGGGCGCAGGCAGGGACAAGGCAATGGAGTAGGCGGCTGGACCCAGTGCTGGGCTGGGAGGGGAGCGTGGCGAGCTTCCTCAAACAGTGCCGCACGCAACGCGCATGCTAGAGACTGGCTGGGCCCTGTTGGAGTGTCTGGACTGATCTCAAAATAGAGATACAAAAAAAATCAGAGGTGGGGACTGTCTCCTGCACTCCTTGTGAGCCCCCAGGTCCAGAATGGGCTTGGTGTCCAGCTCCTGCCCCCCTAGGCAGAAGGCTGAAGGCAGGGAATAGGTGTGGGGTGGGGAGAGGGGCAGGATCGGACCCACAGTGGAACAGGAACAGCAAAAAGGCTTCAGCACACGGAGCTACATCACAGCTGGCATCAAGCTGCTCCAGACAGCTGGATTTTCGCCCAGGCAAAGCCCTGGCCCCACCACCCCTTAGCACAATCCCTAAACCTACAGACCTTGAAGATCAGCCTGGGGCGGGCTGGGGGCGGCCCCTGGTCCCTGGACTAGCAACAAGCAAGTTTGGAAACTCTGTATCGCTTTTAACGTCCTGTTGCCCTCGTCTGGTCTCGACTGCAGACCCTAAGCTACAACCCAGCTCTGTCTCTCTCTAGACAAGCTCTCTCCTTCCTCTCACGCTCGACACCGCCCCTTTTAAGGCACAACGTGGCTGCTTATACATGTTTTTATATATATATGTATATATATATATATATATATACACACACACACAATTAGTGCCTATGATGAGTAATACAGTACACAAAAATTGGGTCTTTCCCATGGCAAGAGCAGGGAGCAATGGGAGTAAGCACAGAAGGCAGGACAAGGGGGGTCGGGAGGTAATGCCCCGGGTATGAGACCAATGGGAAATCAATGAGAACATCATTCAGGCCTCTTGTGCGCACCCCTCGGTGCAGAAAGTGATGGGAAAATAGGAGGATCTGGGCCCGCCGGGACACACAGATGATTCCCATGAGGGTTGGGGCAGGAGCCTTAGTGCACAGGACAATCAAGCCTCAGAGACTGGATTTTCCTTTTCAAAGCACAATTTACCTTCAGCAAAACTCATCCCACTCTTTTGAAATGAGCTTTGCTTTCGGGTCTAGCACATGGCTTTATAGAGCAACACAGCCCTGCTCCCCCAAGATACTAACAGGCGGGGGGGGGCCATCTCGAATGGCTTTACATCAAACCCCTATACAAAAACCTTTGGCAAAAAAAATACATCTAAAGAGCTATTAAACTACCAATTCTTTTTTCTCTCTCTCTCTCTTTTTGGCAACCACCATTCGTTGACTTCTTTGGCTTCTGTGTTTAAAAAAAATGCAGCTGCTGAAAAAGCTCTTGTTGGTGTGGGTTTTTTTTCTATAGAAATAGATATTCTTTCTTTAAAAACAATCAAAGCATCATTTTGCATTTTATATATAATATATATATATATATATAAATTCCTGCGGTAGAAAACAAAAAAAAATCCCAACCTTTCTTGGTTTTTTTTAAAAAGAGGGGAAGGGACAGGAGGCAGGGAGGTGGATGCTATATATTTAATTTTAAAAAGACCCTATCTAAAATATACCAAATTCCTATCCTTGGAACTAACCTTTTTACCTTAAAAGGATTATGCTCAAACCTCACATATTAATGTGTGTATATATATATATATATATATATATTATTATTTGTATATATAAATTTACAAGTGATAAAGGCTGCAGATAGCAGATACCAGCCAGAGAAGTAGTTGCTCTACTGCTGCTTATTGCAACACGTTAAAAACACAAAGTAGAAGTACTCAGACTCACTAATAAGAGATCTTTGCTTTCATCACAGAAATCATCAGTCTAATTCTCTCCACTTTACAAATGACACGCAGCGTCGATAACCCTGGCAAGCTGGTGGATTCATGGTAGGATATTGGGGTAATATTAATTAAATAGTATTAACTGAATCTTCAGCTAGTAACATTAATCTAGCTGTCAATTAATTAGGAGCAAAGAAAGAGGGGCTGGAAAGGACCTCATGAAGTCGCATCTAGTCAAGGCATGATAAGGTGTGATGCAACTGTCCCAGCCCGGTGTCTGTCCAACCTGCACTTGGACATTTCCAGAGAGGAAAACTCATCTCCAACCTCAGGTCCCCCTGCTGCAGCTTGAGGCTTATGCTCTTAATCTCCCTCCTACAGCCACAGAGAAAAGCCCATCTCCACCTTCGCTGTCATTGCCCTTCAGGTATTTCATAGAATCACAGACAATGAGGGTGGGAAGGGGCCTCGTGAGGTCACATCTAGTCCAAGCCCCTGCTCAAAGCAGGACCAGGCCCAGCTACATCATCTCAGCCAGGGCTTTGTCTACCCCAGGCTTAAAAAGGATGGAGACTGCACCACCTCTCTGGGGAACCTGTTCCAGTGCTTCACTACCCTCCTAGTGAGAGTTTTTCCTAATATCCAGCCTAAGCCTCCCTTGCTGCAAGTGGAGCCCATTGCTCCTTGTCTGTCATCTGCTCCCACTGAGAATAGGCCACCTCCATCCTCTTTGCAACCCCCCCGCAGGGAGTTGAGGCCTGCTCTTAAA